GAAACTCAAAGAAATTCCAGATAACACAGAGAAGGAATTCAGATAAATTCTGTAAGATAAATTTAACAAAGGGATTAAAATAATTTTTTAAAAATCAAGCAGAAGTTCTGAAGCTGAAAAATGTAATTGGCATAGTGAAGAATGCATCCAAGTCCTTTAATAGCAGAATTGATCAAGGAGAAGAATTAGTGAGCTTGAGGACAAACATTCAAAATACGGTCAGAGGAGACAAAAAAGAATAAAAAACAACGAAGCATGGCAACAGGATCTATCTAGAAGACAGCCTCAAAAGACAAATCTAAGAGTTATTGGCCTTAAAGAAGAGGCAGAGGGATAGAAATTCAAAGGGATAGTAACAGAGAACTTCCTAAACCTAGAGAAAGATATCAATATCCAAGTACAAGGTTATGGAACATCAAGCAGATTTAACTCAAAGAAGACTACCTCAAGGCATTTAATAATTAAATTCCCAAAGGTGAAGGAAAAAGAAAGGATTCTAAAAGCAGCAAGAAAAAAGAAACAAATAATATACAATGGAACTCCAATATATCTGGCAGTAGACTTTTCAATGGAAATCACACAAGCCAGGAGAGAGTGGCAAGACATACTTATAGTGCTGAAGGGAAAAAACTTTTATCCTAGGATAGTATATCCAGCGAAAATATCCTTCACACATGAAGAAGAAATAAAGACTTTCCCAGACAAACAAGAGCTGAGGGATTTCATCAATACCAGACCTGTCCAACTAGAAATGCTAAAGGGAGTACTTCAATCAGAAAGAAAAGGCGATTAATGAGTAATAAACAATCCCCTGAAAAAACAAATCTCACTGGTAATAGTAAGTACACAGAAAAACATAGAACATTATAACTCTGTACCTATAGTGTGTAAACTACTCTCATCCTAAGTAGAAAGACTAAATGACAAACCAATAAAAAATAACTACAACAACTCAAGACATAGTCAATACAATAAGATATGAATAGAAACAACAAAAAGTTAATAAGCAGGGGTATGAAGTTTAAAAAGTAGTTTTTATTAGTTTTATTTTCGCTCGTTTATGTACATAAATAATGCTGTTATCAGGTCAAAATAATGGGTTATAAGATAGTATTTGCAAGCTTCATGGTAACCTCAAACCAAATATATATATATATACACACACACACATATATATATAATGAATACACAAAAAATAAAAACCAAGAAATTAAATATTATCACCAGAGAAAAATCACCTTCACTAGAGGAAGTCAGAAAGAAAGAAGACCAGAAAACAAACAACAAAATGACAGCAGTGAGCCCTTACTTATCAATAACAACATAAAATGTAAGTGAACTAAACTCTCCAATCTAAAGATATGAACTGACTGAATGGATGATAAAACAAGACCCATTGATATGTTACCTACAAGAAACACACTTTGCCTATAAAGACACATACTGTAATAAAGAGAGGGAAAAATATATTCCATGCCAATGGAAACCAAAAGAGCAGGAGTCACTACAGTTATATCAGACTAAATCAATTTCAACAAAATAACTATAAAAAGGGACAAAGAAAGTCCTTACATAATGAAAAAGGTATCAACTAAGCAAGAGGATATAACAATGGTAAATATAAATGAATCCAAACTGGCACATCAGATATATAAAGCAAATATCATTAAAAGTAAAGAGCAAGATAGGCCTGAATACAATAATAGCTGGAGACTTTATCCCACTTGCAGCATTGGACAGATCTTCACAGAATATCAAAAAGAAACATCAGACTTAATCTGTACTACAGACCACATGGATATAATATTAAACAGATATTTATATAACATTTCATCCAAGAGCTGCAGAATACATACTTTTTTCCTCGGCACATGGAGCATTCTCAAAGACCACATTTTAGCTCACAAAATAAGCCTTAACACATTCAAAAAAATTGAAACATCATCAAGCATCCTCTCTGACTACAATGGAATAAAACTAGAAATTAATAACAAGAGAAATTTTGGAAACTATAAAAATACATAGAAATTAATATGCTCCTGAATGACCAATGGGTCAATAAAGAAATTATGAAACTGAACAATTTCTTGAAACAAATGATAACAGAAACTCACCATACCAAATCTTAGGAGATATAGAAAAAGTAGTACTCATAGGGAATTTATAGCTCTAAGTGCCTACCTACATCAAAAAAAGAGGAAAAACTTCAAATAAACAACTTAACAATGCACCTTAAAGAACTAGAAAAGCAAGAGCAAACCACACCCAAAATTAGTAGAAAAGAAATAATAAAGATCAGAGCAGAAATAAACAAAATTGAAATTACAAATACAAAAGATCAATGAAACAAAAAGTTGGCTTTTGAAAAGTTAAACACAAACCTTTAGCCAGACTAAGAAAAAAAGAGAGAAGATTCAAATAAAATCAGAAATGAAAAAGGAGATAATACAACTGATACCACAGAAATTAGAGGCTACTATGAGCAACTACATGTCAACAAATTGGAAAATCTAGAAGAAATGGACAAAATTCCTAGATACACAAAACCTACCAAGATTGAATCAGGAGGAAATCCATAATCTGAACAGGCCAGTAAGTAACGAGATCAGAGTCGTAATTAAAAGCCTCCCAGTAAAGAAAACCGGGGATCCAATGGATTCACAGCTGAATTCTACCACACATTTAAAGAACTAATACCAATCCTACTCAAACTATTCCAAAATACAGAGGAGGGAATACTTCCAAATGCATTCTACAAGGCCAGTATTACCCTGATACCAAGAACACACAAAGACACACCAAAAGGAAAACTGCAGGCCAATGTCTCTGATGAATATTGATGCAAAAATCCTCAACAAAGTACTAGCAAGTTGAATTCAACAATACATTAGAAAGATCATTCATCATGACCAAGTGGGATTCATCGCTGGGATGCAAGGATGGTTCAACATACACAAATCAATGAATGTGCTATATCACATCAACAGAATGAGGAATAAAAACCATATGATCATTTCAATTCATGTTGAAAGGGCATTTGATAAAATTCAACATCCCTTCATGATAAAAGCCCTCAAAAAGCTGGATATAGATGGAACATACTTCAACATAATAAAAGCCATATATGACAGACCCACAGCTAGTATCACACTGAATGGGGAAAAACTGAAAGCCTTTCCTCTAAGATTTGGAACACAAGGATGCCCACTTTCACCACTGCTATTCAACATAGTACTGGAAGTCCTAGCTAGAACAATCCGAGAAGAAAAAGATACCAAAGGGCATCCTTGAAAAGGAAGAAGTCAAATTATTCTTGTTCACTGATGATATAATCTTATATTTGGAAAAACCGAGAGACCACAAGAAAATTATTAGAGCTGATAAATTTAGTAAAGTTGCAGGATACAAAATCAACATACAAAAATCAGTAGCATTTCTATATGCCAACAGCAAACAATTTGAAAAAGAAATTTAAAAAACAATCTCATTTACAATAGCCACACATAAAATTAAATACCTAGAAATTAACCAAAGAAGTGAAAGATATCTATAAAGAAAACTATAAAACACTAATGAAGAAAATTGAAGAGGACCCCAAAACATGAACAAATATTCCGTGTTCATGGATTGGACAAATCAGTATTGTTAAAATGTCCACACTACCCAAAGCATTCTACAGTTACAATGCAATCCCTATCAAAATACCAATTACATTCTTCACAGAAATAGAAAAAACAATCCTACAATCTATGTGGACCCACTAAAGACCCAGAATAGCCAAAACTATCCTAAGCTAAAAGGACAAAACTGGAGGAATCACGTTACCTGACTTCAAATTATACCACAGACCTACAGTAACCAAAACAGCCTGGTACTGACAGAAAAGCAGACACATACACCAATGGGACAGAATAAATAACCCAGAAACAAATCCACACAACTACAGTGAACTCATTTTTGACAAAGGTGCCAAAAACTTATAATGGGGAAAAGACAGTCTCTTTAATAAATGGTGCTGAGAAAATTGGATATCCCCACGTAAAAGAATGAAACTGGACCCCTATCTCTTCACTTATACAAAAAACAAATCAAAATGGATTAAAGAGGTAGATCTAAGACCTCAAGCTGTGAAACTACTATAAGAAATCATTGAGGAAAATCTCCAGAACATTGGCCTAGGCAAAGATTTCTACTAGATAAATACCCCACAAGCACAGACAACCAAAGCAAAAATGGACAAATGGGATCCCCTCAAGTTTAAAGCTTCTGCACAGCAAAGAACACAAACAACAAAGTGAAGAAACAACTCACAGAATGAGAGAAAAAACATTTGCAAACTATCCCTCTAACAAGGGATTAATAACAAGAATATGTAAGGCGTTCAAACAACTCTATAGGAAAGCATCTAATAAACTGACCAAAAAAAAAAAAAAAAAAAAAAGGGCAAAAGATTTAAATACACATTTCTCAAAAGAAGACATAAAAATGGCAAACAGGCATATGAAAAGGTGATCAACATTACAGATCATCAGAGGAATGCAAATCAAAATTACAATGAGATATCATCTCACCCCAGTTAAAATGACTTATATCCAAAAGATAGGCAATAACAAATGCTGATGAGGATATAGAGAAAAGGGAAAACTTGTATACTGTTGGTAGGAATGTAAATTAGTAAAACCACTATGAAAAACAGTTTGGAGCTTCCTCAAAAAACTAAAAATTGAGCTACCATATGGTCCAGCAATCCCACTGCTGGGTATGTACCCAAAAGAAAGGAAATAGAAGAGATATCTGCACTCCTATGTTTGTTACAGCACTGTTTACCATAGTTAAGATTTGGAAGCAACCTAAGTGTCTATCAACAGATGACTAGATAAAAAAAAATGTGGGACACAAACATTCAGCCATAAAAAAAGAATGAAATCCTGTCATTTGCAATAACATGGATGGAACTGGAGATTATGATGTTAATAAGCCAGGCACAGAAAGACAAAGACTGCATGTTCTCATTTATTTATGGGATCTAAAAATAAAATCAATTGACCTTATGGACATACAGAGTAGAAGAATGGTTACCAGTGTCTGGTAAGGGTACTGAGGGTTGCAGGGGAAGGTGGGGATGGTTAATGGGTACAAAAACAAATGAAATAAAAAGAATGAGTATGATCTACTATTTGATAGCACAATAGGGTGACTATAATCAATAATAACTTACTCGTATATTTTTAAATGATTTAAAGAATGTAACTGGATTATTTGTAATTCAAAGGAAAAATGCTTGAGGGGATGGATACCTCATTCTCCATGATGTACGTATTTCACATTGCATGCCTGTGTCAAAGCATCTCATGAACCCCATAAATATATACATGTACTATGTACCCACAAAATTTTTATAAAAGAAGTGAGACATTCTAATTAAAGACTTGAGATCTTTTCTAAATAATGTATATACATGTTTTGTGATCTGTACACACTCTCCAAATCCTAGCTATAATCTAAACAGATATGTAAAACCAGTTGTATAACAGATAAAGTAAAAAACAATTCATAAGACATTGTTAAATACAAGAAAACCAAATATCTGACCTATTACATCCTGCATAGCAAAATACATGAGAATAACAGCCTCTTTCCTAGGCTCTTCACTGATCCAATGCCTGAGATAACAGGGAAATACAGTTTGAAAGAAGCTATTACAAAAAAGGCTTATAAAAATACACAAATTTTGACTTATTTATTGAATTAAAATTATACTATGTATAAAACAGCAAATCTATATGCAGAGTGATTTAATGCATAATATATACAATTATCTTTACAAAGCCAGGATGCAAGTTCCAATGATTATGACTATAAAATTTATATTAAACATTTCCATAAGTGATTTATTTGGCTGTTTTTGTTCGAAGTCGTCGTTTGATAATCTGGTGATCACTCTCCTTCATTTTCTGGTCCATTAAAATCTGAAATTAAAAATTCCATAGTTTTTCAAAGCTTGTAAGTGAAAATAAAAATCAAAGCTCATTTATAATGAATAAGACATGTCCATGTGCTTAATAACAGAAATGAATGATACACTGGAGAACTTTTTTACTTAAACTTTTATAAGAAGATGGTACTTATACCATTTCTATAAAAATTTCTTTAAAAAATAGACTTTGTAAAAGATTCAACACTATCAAATTCTAGAAGTAAAATAACCTAGACTCTATTGAATTCAAGGCAGATATAGCTTAAAATAATTACGAAAATATTTGGAGACAAGTGCCTCAAATAATTTTTAAGAAATGATCTTTCATGGCAACAAATGTATAACTTAGAAAGTAGAAAGCACATTACATAGTAACTAAGAAAACAATTTTCAGCCAAGGGAAGAAATTATGTACTAATCAAACAGATGCTCAAAAATGACTGACAGAATGATACTTACAACACCATGCCCTAATTTACCCTAACTCTTTACATCTTGCATTCAAAAAATCTCATATCTGAAAGCTGTTGTTGCAAAAAAGGTTTCTCCTGATTTTTCTTGGCCACTTCCTTTTAATTTTTTTTTATTTCTTTTAATTGCTTTTTTACCTTCACTTGCATCCACTAAGCAAATGCAAGCATGACAGAAAATTTGAGCTTTCCCTGTGGCAGGACATACTGTTCTGAATCAGAAGAATGAGTCATAGAGTCAGGGTGATAGCTACAGTCTCTTCCTAATAGATCCTCAAAGGCTTAGGGGAAAGGTGGGAGGAAATGGCTGAATGTCAATTTTATATTTTTACCAGGAACACTTGGGCCCAGATTTGCACAACTCTTGTGATTTAAAAAAGAAAAAGTAAAAAAAAAGATTTTGGAGGCAAATAAGTTAAATGGTGACAATTCTATTATTGGAAATAAATTCCTCTGATGCATTTTCAAATGCAAATACATGACACTTGTATACATTAATACAGTATTTATATTTAATTAGTATAAACTTAACACATGTGAGACTAAAAGCATGACTTTCAAAGCATGTTTTCAGAGATCTAAAGAACTGAAATTCAAACCACTGTAAAAAATTAAAAAGAACATGAACAGTTTTACATTGATGAAAATGGAAATACTAGCTTACCACTTGGCCTGATATATCAATAGGAGATGAAATTTCAGTTGTGTATAATTTCCGTTTGACTCGTTTTGGTTGAGACACATTTTCTTTACTTGCTTCTACATTTGAGAGCTTTGAAGAGCTCATTGTTTCAATTATCTTCTTTGCTATAAAATAAAAATGTTAATTAGTTCCTGAAATAATTTTCTAACTGCAAAAGTGGTTTGAAATCCTTAATAAAGATGGTTTGAAATCCTTAATAAAGAATGAACATACACAAATTAAAAACACTGCAATACATATATGGTAAAAGGGCATGAATAGACAAATCACAAAGAAAAAAAGTAAATGTCAAAAAAACATGAAATAATGATCAACAGCAAAAAAAAAAGGAAATAAATAAAGTATTTGATTAATGTTCGATGTAGTAAAAAATCTCAGGCATCTTTAATGACTTGGAAAATGTTTATGCTATGTTAAGCAAAAAAGCAGGATACACACATACTGGATCATGCAGTATTAAAAATAAGGTGGTAGATGATCTACTTCAATGCTCATGCATAAAGTTATGCACAATGAGTACTGCGTGAAAATACTTCGTAAACCCTTTACTTGGAGTCCACACGCAAGCGGACAGAAACCAAAGTGTTAACAGCTGATTGCTTTTAGGAAGTAGAATAGGAATTTTAAAATTCCTTACTATGTACATTGCTTTTTTTTATTTTAATAGAAAATATATTTCCATTTGGGAAAATTCCTGGATAGAAATTCACACACATGTGGTATCAAATATATATTTTTTTAAATGGAAAAAACATTTAAGGAAATAGACTAAACTGAGAGACTACTTGTTAAGGGCTGAGTTGGGCTTGAGAGAGCTGAGTCCAGGTATCGGAGGAGCCAATTAAGACAACAAACCAAAATGAAAGTAACAACCCAGCTTTTTAACCACTTATTTCAACAGTATATGCAAGAGGCTAAACCTGAGAAAGCATCAGCTCCTACCCACCCTCTTCTATAGTCCCCCACAGAATAATACAGATCAGCGTAGAAGTGGTGATCATTTTACCACCCAGGCAGCCCCAAACAAAAGGCTCCTGCAGTTTTATAGACTTCAGGGCTGGAGGTTGGAGGGAGCTATACGTGAAAAAGTACCGAGTTACAGTAGAGGAAAGTCTTCAAGGTTCCCCCTCCCGTTCCCCTCCATAAGAAGGCCTCTACCAAAGGCCTCAATAAAGAGGCTCTGAATGGAGGCACTCAGGGTAAATATGCAAATATGAGTAAGAGCATGACTAGCTTCGGCGGGGGCTGGATCCTTGACTATAACTCCCTTAAGAGATTATAACGCACTATCTATGCAACAAGTCTGGTGTGGAAAGGGAGGCTTGTCAGGTAAGTCTTTGTAATTGCCTATGGTACAGTCTAAAAAAAAAAGAAATGTTTAAAACTCATATATATGTTGGCCTAGAGCCAAACTCATCACCACTATGTGCTAGCCACTGTACTAAGAGCTGACAGTATGAACTAGACAAGACATTTTGTCCTTGTGCAGATTATATTCTAGTGTAAAAGATAATAAGAAAGCAAAGAATTATAGTTTAAAAAGTGCTAAGACAAAAAATAGGAATGAACAATAAATATTAAGCGATGCTGGGGATAAGGTGTAGTGAAAGGCTGATGAAGGAAGGTGTCTCCCTAATAAAGTTGCATCAGCTATGAGGGCTCAAGTGTAAGAGGGCAGCTATGAGAAAAGCCAGGGTGTGTTCCAGATAAAAGAAAGCACAGGAAAAAGAGAAAGAAATCAATGATATGAAGGTAAGAAAGAAACTGGCAAACTCTAGGAACTGTCAGAAGCTAGCAGGATTGAAGCTGGCTAGTTATCAAACCGTAGAATAATAAGAGATAGACTGGAGAGAGTCAGAAATCGGGTCATTCAGAAGAACGAGAAATCATTAAAGGTTCAGAGGAGTAACATAATTCAATCTGCACTCTGAAGGGAACATTCTGTCATGTATGAATGGATGGGAGATGACAAGAGGGGCAAGCTGGGAGACCAGTGATACTAAGCGATGGATTAACAGTAGTTACAAGGAGCAGCAGAATTTTAAGAACTAATCTCCATTTTTTCTTTTCTCTCTATATTTCCAAGTGGCCCAAAACAACAAATATGTATTACAGTTACAGTCCAAAATATGGATATCTTATATTTCTAGAAATAAGTGAAAACAAAAAGAAAAACGGAAAAAAAAATGTATGTCAAGTGCATTGGTAGGGAAGCTGTTAAGGAACCAAGTCAATGAAGTAAGAGAATCGTTACCCTTACCTGATTACGTACTTATTATAGCTACCTACCTCTCCTTGAAAATACATTGCTTTTTAATATAAAAGTAGTAATCAATAAGCCTAAAGGACTCTAAAGAAAAGATGCCCCTCCTCTCCAAATTTAGACATTTAACAGTTTGCTGTTTGTCCCTCCAGATATTTTATCTGTTTACACAAACACATTTTTTAAATGTATGTATTTTTTAAATGTATATAAATATACAAACGGGTCTGATAGGTCAGAAGTTCCCAAACTGTGTACTAAGGCATGCTGCAGCAAACCTACAGAAGCACCTCAGGATATTTTCAATCTTCAGGGGAAACAATGATGCTCAATAGCCCAAGGTTGTTCAGTTTCAAAATGATACTGAATTACATTTCTTTTGATTATGACATCATCTTTGCAATCTGGATTTTCAGAAGCTGAATTTTCAGTGGTTGTTTGGTCTTAAGTTCTAACGCATGAGACTGCTAGTGGTTCTTTGGGTGCAGAGGCAAAATGGAAATTAATTACTGAGACATTAAGGGCACTGTGAACCAACAAAGTTTGGAAACGTCTATGGTAAGTTTTCACAAAAAGTATTCTCACACAACCTATTTGATTCAATTTAACTGCCCCCTGCTTCTAGTTCCTTTACCTCCCTATACTCCTCACTATGGTCTCTAATTCATCCTATTGCTGTCACTCAGGTAACCTCACAAAAACCCACTCCTTCATCTCACCCCTAAGATAGTCCTTCCACATTCTACATGCCAGATGCATACTGCTGCCTGTAATTGCATGAACATTTCCTACATTTTTCTGATACGCCACCTGTGTTAAAACCATTCCTTCTACATATGTGCACACACACACGTGTATATATCTTAATATACACACAGGTATCAATATGTCCACATTATATTATCAAGAAGTATATATCTTAATATACACACAGGTATCAATATGTCCACATTATATTATCAAGAAGTATATATCTTAATATACACACAGGTATCAATATGTCCACATTATATTATCAAGGAAAAAAGCACTAATCATACTGTTTTGCAGCTAAACTCAATAGGTATTTATGAAAATACGTGTTTTGACATATTATACATAAATAGATAGTGTTTACATATGCATAGAAAAAAACACTAGAAGGATATATACTATAATACTAATACTGGCAAACTTGTCCAACCCCCCTTATTTTGTTGTTGTTTTTGTTCTGTTTTGTTTTGTTTTAGGCTTTTAGCAGCCTGAAGCCATGGTTTTTAGTTTCTGTCTCTAGTGATAAGCAGAAAACAGGGATGAGGAAGGGGATTTCCTGGCCCAATCAAAAACAGAAACTAAGAACCCATGACTGTATTCTCACCCTTGGACACCCTAGAGAGTGTAATCCTGCCCACATTTCAATACACAGGGTAAATCCTATCTCTCCCATAAAAATCTTCCCAAAGCCCCCCAATCAGAGTAGCTCTTTTCCCTCCAATACTATCATACCTTTGCTTGTACCCCTATTACTATATTAAGTAGCCAGCTCTGGATCAGTTACTTAAATATTGCCTTTCTCCTCTACTACATAGTGAACACCTAGATCTATCATCCTTTTACATGTTTCTTCCCACAGTACCTAGTACAGGACAATGCCTATTTGAAGTATAATACTCACTGAACAGTTGTTGAGTTTATATATCAATTAGGTAGTAAAATGTACCCCACATCTAACAAAAAAAGGTCATTACATTAATTTTCTGCAAACCTTTTGATTGAAGAATTGAGGGAGAATGTTGTAAGAAGTCTCCAAATTTCTGTAGTGTTCCTTCTTTTTTCTTAGTGGCCAGGTTTACACCAGTTATGGATGCCTGACTCCGTAAAGAATACGTTTTCTTAGATGATGGATGTGTGGGAACCTAATAAACAAACATTTTTTGTTATTGTTGATGAGAAGTGTTAGAAGGAAATAGTTATGGCAATAGCTGAATTAAAGAGGCCAGAGACAGGTTATGAATTCTCAGGTAGGAAACTTGAGATTTAGTGTATAAGGACAGGGATAAAAGGGTCAGACAATGGCAAAAAGAGTTTTCCAGGCAGAGTGTTAAAGTCAGAAGTAAACACATAAAGTAGCTGCTACTGGCCAAATGCTAAAGGTTACATCTCAACTGAATTAGACGTATAGGAAAGAGAAGATAAATGAGTTATAATGGAACACAATTGGATTTCTGGATAATTGCTATAATTTTGGACAAATTAAAAGACACACCTTTTGTTCCTTTTTGACAGAAGAATTTCTATCATCTGAAACAGGAAATTTCAAATTAGTTCTGGGTGTAGCATTCTTCTTATTTGCACATTTCACCAAGTCCTAAAAATAATGAATTTTAGCACCGGTTAATTTGACAATATTTTCTTTCTCTAGACTCAAAAAAGAAAATATGTAAAAAGCTATATTATCACTTAAAACAGTGACTCTTAACCGAGGGCAATTTTGAACTCAGAGGACAATGGCAATCTCTGAGGTTATTTTTGGTTGTCTTTGCCAGGCAGAAGGGGATATTATTGGCCACGAGTGGGTAGAGGCCAGGAATGCTGTTAAACATCCCTATAATGCATGGGATAGCCCTTAAAACAAAGAGGTATACAGCCCAAAATGTCAACTGTGCTGGAGTTGAGAAACCCTGATTGAAGGTGTAAATTTTTCACACATATCACAAGTAATGAAATTACATAAGCTAAATGAAAAACATGGAAGGAATAATATCTTTTATTTGAAACTGAGCTTTAAAATACAGCATAGCAATATACCTACCTATTGCCTAACTCCCAAATAATGTAAGCATCTATGTCTAAGTTCTCTCATTGACATTTGACAATATCAAAAATAAAATAAAAACAAAACTTCATATAACCACATGTAAAATGTGAAAACTTTTAAAATATTATCTTTCTTCTCTATAACATGGGTATGGCATCTTACTCTTCTTTTTCCCAAATAACCTCACATAGGACAAAGCCTTTACAGATATACTCACTGACTTGAACTGCTGCAAATCCTAGTTGAACCAAAGACAAAAGCGGAAAAAGGGGGCAAGAAGAGAAGCAGAGAAAAGATCATGACTGAACTTCAGAATTCAAGTTACAAAGCAGAAGTTATAAGGGTCATAAGAAGCAGATGCCATGACAGGGAAAAGACAGATGGTAATCACGGGATGCAAGTGAAAAGAGGCCATGAGGCTACCTCCACACATAGAGGTCAGTAAAGGAGCTCTTTAGAGTCTTCACCGGATTAGAATATAGCCTGTCGGGGGATGGGGGGCTAGGAGAGGGATAGCATTAGGAGAAACACCTAGTGTAGGTGACAGGTTGATGGGTGCAGCAAACCACCATAGCATGTGCAGACCTATGTAACAAAACTGTACATTCTGCACACATACCCCAGAACTTAATAATAATAATAGTATGTGGAAGAAAAACAGAAAATAGCATTGCATAAATGGTTTTCATGGGAGCCCATATACTTAGTTTATTATAGCAGTGAAGATGTAGTAAAATCAGTTTAAAAATTTAAAGTTTCTACATGATGTATCTACAACAATCTGTAAATATTTTCTGAAATAGACATGAAGGATATATGCCAATAGTAAAATTAATAAAATATTTATATTTTAACATTCTTGAGAACTACACTCAGTGTTTCCTTCTTCGTTGAAAAAAAATGGATCAAGAAAAAGCCAACTAGATGATGAAACTCAGTGTTTTAATGGTATTTTTAAAAATTAAATATGAAACAAAAGTTAACTAGTAAGACTCCACAAAACAATCTCTGAAGGTGTTACATGTGTAGCAGAAAAACTGCGCTAAACAATATTCACTCAGCAAAATTATTACCGGACAGACAGCCTCAGGAGTATGGTTAATACTATTTCTGCTCTTCCACCAGCTTGAAAATATACTACTCTTTAAAGAAGTAAAAGAAAGTTGAAGAAAAATTATTTTGCTAGAGAGCTTGTAATTAGTTTTAAGCTTAAAACAAGTTACTTTAAAAATAAATATTACTATTTATTATGTATCTGCCACTTGCAGAGCAAAAGCTAAGCATTTTAAACACATTAATCCAGTGTTTCGAAAAGGAGAAAACAGGATCAGAAACCTTATCTGACTTGCCAAATCTCCACAACTAGGACATGGTAGGTTTGGCAGCCTTTCAATCAAGAAACTGCAGCTTAAGAGGTTAATAGTTTTTAGCCTACCACTACATAGAGGCCCAAATTTTAACATTGGCTGATGAAAAAAGAATTTCTCTTGTAAAACTTGCTATGACCATAGAGACTAAAGATTTTAGTTAAATGACAAAGATTATACTCAAGCAAGTTAGCCATTTCAGTTTCTCTCATTTCTACATAACCCCCTTTTCCATTACAGGGAAAGTGACTAAGTATGAACAGGACTGGTATTCTGAAATGGCTCTCCAGTAAAATCCACCATCATTTGATGTATTATAGTTCAACTGAAGCAAAGGATAAGCTATATCTTTTAATATACATAGCTTTTTATCTGAAGACCATTAAACCACAGTAATATTCTTTATTTTTCTGAGACAGAGTCTTGCTCTATCACCCAGGCTGGAGTGCAGTGGTACCATCTCATCTCATTGCAACCTCCACTTCCTGGGTTCAAGTTGTTCTCCTGCCTCAGCCTCCTGAGTAGCTGAGATTACAGGTGTGCACCACCACTCCTGGCTAATTTTTGTATTTTTAGTAGAGACGGGGTTTCACCATGTTGACCAGGCTGGTCTTGAATTCGTGAACTCAAGTGATCTGCCAGCCCCAGCCTCCCAAAGTGCTGGGATTACAGGCATGAGTCACCATGCCTGGCCCATAGTGATACCCTTGAAGGGTATAAAATATAGCATAAATTGTGATTTTGGTCTCTTAACAGCAGTGCCTATGAACAGGAGGGCAATATAGCAGAGTTTAACTCTACACTGTAACAGCTTTATAATAAGATTTTTTTGTTAAATATACTCATCAGTTAAGTATTTACCTCCTCCATTTCATTACTCTTCCTCTTCCGAGCCTTAGGAATCTTAACTGTCACTGGTGTGGTACAACCAGGGTGTTTCACTGCCATTTTGTTTGGCTGTAAAGGTGTAAACTGAATCTCTAATTCAGGTTTTGGAAATCGAGTGCTTTGATCATTTTCTGTTGACACTTCACAAGAGTCAAGGACTACAGATCCATCCTACAACAGAATTTAAAAGGAAAAATATTATTTGTAGAGTATATATTTATAAACCACAAAGAATTAGTTCTCTCAAATGCCTATTCAAGACAATGCATCAGGAAAGACAAAAAGTATGCTAGGTCACAGCAAGACAGAAAGATTGAGTTATCATCTACCTTCTTCAGGCTCACACATGGTATGTTAAAATTAGGGGCAACTTAAGAGATCAGTATTTCCCAAACTTATATGATCATAAGAATTACTTACAGAATTTGTTTATAAGACTCCTGGACCCTACCACAAACCCAGTAAATCAGAAACCTCCAAGGGAGGAGGCTGGGATTTTTGACAAACAGCCTGGTTATATTAAAGTAGGCTGCAAATACTTTCCTACTCTTCCCATTGAGAGATGGAGTCTCTCATTCCCCTCTATTTGAATTTGGGCCTTATAGCCAATAGGATGTGGTAGAAATAACATTATGGTCATCTAAGGCTCAATCATAAGAAGCATTACAACTTCTGTCCTGTCCTCTTAGAACACTTTCAGGACACTCTCCCTCAAAATGCCCCATCTGAGACCAGCTACCATGCCATGAGAGGTCTAATCCACAGGGAGAGGCCACAAATTAAGTCCAGGGGAAGTCCCAGAATCAACTACCAGTTAAGTGAATTAATCATTTTGGACTTTCAGCCTGGTTAAGTATATCGATTACATGAAGGCAAGAACAATACAAAATAGCCTAACAATATGATTCCCCAAACTGTGGAATATACAATAACTGCTGGAATTAGAAAATTGGAACCAGGAAATTAGGACAACATACACACATTTATGGAGAAAGAAATGTTCCTTTATATGTGTTTGTCCATGCAATCAAGAATTAAGCCTTGTTTATGGATCAACTTCAAACTTTTCTGTGAAATTTATGATTTGTATTAGTCCCCAAGGTCAGTGCTAATTATTTGAAACTGCTAATAACTGTCAAGGAAAAACCAAGAGAAAATGAATGGCTGATGTTATTTTCCCAGATAAAAATGTCCTTCTTAGTTGGCCATGGTGGCACATGCCTGTAGTCCCAGCTACTCAGGAGGCTGAGGCAGGAGGACCGCTTAAGCCCGGGAGTTCAAGTCCAGCTGCCAGAGAAACATAGCGAAACCCTTTTTTTTTTTTTAAGACTTTTTCTTCCCATTGTCTGCTTAATAAGCTTCTATTCATAAGATACAATATGGCATCACCTTCTTTAATCCACTTCCACAACCACTGAGGCAAAATTCATTTCATCTTCCTCAGTGTTACTTATGGTACTCATTTTATATTTCTACTATAACACTTAGCCCATAAGTAAAATCAAACAAGTCAGTCACTTATGTATCTACCTTACACTCCTTGAGGATGACAATCATGTCTTATTGATGTTTGTATCCTCAGCGCTTAAAAAGGTTCCCAACTCTGAATGCTCCCAATAAATGTGTTTTAAAAAGTAATTTTATCTTCAAAAATTTTAAGTAACATAGAATTTTTATCTATTTCATATCCAACCGCAGAATCTCTATATTATCCAAAGTTATTCACAGAACCCTAAGTCCAAAACAATTAAGGAAACTCATGAGTTGTTACTGAAGACTGGTGACAAAGCTATTAAATGGATACAATTCCAAAAAATACTATTTAACACAATGTTTATTAAAGCAACCTTTTATGAGAGCAAATTATCCCTATTTTCTCTTCTGTAGGATTTCCTATTTCTGACCATCATGTTTGTTTATATTAACAGATCTAGTGCTTTTAAGATAAGATTAACATCATTTGGGGATATGATCTCCCAAAAGAATTTCACCTCTCCTCAAAAGCCTCTAGTTTCTTTCACATAGCCCAGAGCACATAAAGCTAATTGTGCAGTAAGGTATCTTCAGCAACTGATTATATTACACTTGCAAGTGTTATTTAGCAATAGTGGATAAAGAGAATCAATAAGTGGACTGTGCTGCCAAATACCCACCTCTACTTTATTTCTGGAAATTTCAAAACTTGTCAATTGAGGTTCAGTTTGAAGTTTGTCAGGATCTGCTGAACTAATACGTCTGGGCTTGATATCCATGATTTGTGTTTCCTAAAGTAAGGCAATATTAAAGCAACAGGGCATTGTAACCTGAAAATATATTGAAAACACTTCACATAAAGAATATAAAATCAAGATTTGTGTGAAACTAAACAGTGGAAATAAGTAAAGACATCTTTAATGACCATCTAGCCCTCCTATTTCTCTTTCATCCTCAGAGACTCAGGAAAGGCTGGGTCACTTTCCAGTTTATTGACTCTGATCTAAGGAGAAATCTGAAAGATTGCTTGCAACTTCCAAGTGTTCTGCACACATTTTCTTGCTTTACTTTCATTGCAACTCTGCAGGTAGGTCTGGCAAGAAGCATTATTCCTACCTGCCAGATGAGGAAATAGAGAACTACACACGTTAAATGGCATGGTCAAGGTGTGTACTGAGTTAGAATTGCTCAGTATCCCAGCAGTTGCTTTTGATAACACAATTTTGAAAAACTGGAGGCTTCTCAGGAATGCAACTATAGCATTAGAGTATAACAGACCATAAGGAAAGCTAAACCTTTTCTTGCAGCACATTCTTCATCCCATTTTCTCAGTCATAAAGTTCTATTTCTAAACTCTACTTAGGCAATTTATAAAGAAATATCAGATTACATTTTAAAACTTAATAAACTGTACACAGACCTCCTCATCACAGCCATCAAAATCAAAAGTCAAGTAAACCTCTTATGTCACCTCCCCATTACTGCCAAATAAGAAAGACTCTACTGAATTCATAAAAGGGGAAGTAGCATGTATTGATTTCCACTGGAGTAAGAACTGTGCTACTTGTTTTACAATCTTCATTAATTTCACAACTCTGTTAGGAAAACACTATTCTGTTTTAAATAAAGATCAGAAATGATAAGTAATTTTTCTCAAAGGTCCCAAAACCACAGCGACAGCAGTTGATACCTAGTTTTTCTGACTTTCTAGTCTATATTATTAAACAACACAATACTACCTCTTTTTAAAGCATGTAATCTCTCTTACAGTCATAGTCTTTTGATGTGACATACACATACATATTTTTCCTATTGTCTGAAGGCTTTAGAGCAGCATATTTTTAAGTAAGATTATTTACTCCAGAAAGACTAGCTTCAGATATACCCAGATTCTATTTACTATTTACTATTTCTAAAAGGCAATTCTCTCCTCTTTCAGGATTTCCAGTTCCAAGGTAATATAAAAGTAACAGCTGAATGACTCATGTTTTCCTACCATTAGGCTTACTTTCAAAATAATTTGTACCTTTATAAAATAAAGTTAAGGATGGGTCCAAGTATTCAAATCACCAAGAGTTCATGTTGAATCACACATCCATATTTTAAAGGTAGATTAGGGACTAAACCATAAATTGTTGATTTTCTAATTACTCTACTTGAGAGATATAACCAAAATATTGTAGAAAATGCTACATCTCAGTCATTGATTGACAAATCAATCTTAATGATAAATTTCAAAACTCAAAATCATGAAAAATCTCCACATTTTAAATACTTTGATTCCTTTTTGGTCTATTGAGACTTATACTTTTTTATCCTTTAAGAGTTAGTCAATTAACTATGTTCAATTAAAAAGGCATAGCCAAAAAGACTACTGACTATTTTAGAAGTCTCTGATATGATCCTTTTTAGTTGTTCAATTTCATTATCTTTCTGTACATTACTAGATATCAGGGCTTTTAGCTGTATTTCTAAAGCTGCAACCAGTTGATCTCGTTCTTCTCGCCACTTTTGAAGGTCACTATCTTTCTCTGTCAGCTGGGCTGTCAGTATTTCCTAATCAAGAAATAAAGAAAATATTAAAATCAACCTTGATATAGTATGAATCTAAGAATGTTTAGAAATTATTACATGTAACACCATAAATATAGCTGCAAACAAGATTACATAACAAATTAAGTAGTCTAGATAAAATATTTAATTATAAAACAAAATACATATCATTTTATAAATGTCCACGTTATTTTTATCAATATTCCATCTCATTCCAAAAATCAGTTTACTGGTAACTTCTTTCAGTACACAATTATAGCTATAGCTTTCAAACTAGTATCAACATTTCTGCCAATATTTGGAAAATTAGTGGGTAAAATCACAGTAATAGCAACAAACAATAGAAAAATGAAAATAGAAAACAAGACCATTTACAATCGGTTCAAAAATCATGAAATACTGATATAGAAAATGTGTAAAACCTAAATATGAAAAACCATAAAATATTGCTGAAAGAGATTAAAGAACACCTAAATAAATGGAGAGATTGGTCTGTGTTCAAGGATCAAAATACTCAATATTGTTAAGATGTATCCTCCAAATAGATCTATAGAGTAAAAGCACTTTTAATCAAAATTCTGGTATGTGTGAATGTGTGTGGAAATGGAAAAGGTGACTCTTAAAAATTATATGGAAATGCAAATCATCTAGAATACTCAAAATTATTTTGAAAATGAAGAACAAAATGAGAGCAATTATCTGTAATTTCAAGTTGGCACATTAATCAAGTCAGTGTGTAAAGACAGAGAAATCAATGGGACAGAAGAGACAATCTACAAATGTATGGTCAACTGACCTAAAAAAGTGGCAAAAAAATTCAATGAAAGGAAAGACAATCTTCCCAATAAACGGTGCTGGAACAACTGAATAGCCAAATGAAAAAAAAAAAAAAAAAGAACCCCAACCCTAATCTTACATCACATAAAAAATTAACCCGTGGGCAATTGATTTATGACAAAAGTGGCAGAGCAATGAGAAAGAAACAGTCTTTTCAATAAATATTTCCACGTCAATTGGTGGTAATTCACATTAAAACAAACATCAAGAGCTTTGACCACTATCTCACACCAACATAAAAATCAATTCTAGTATCTAAATACGAAAGATGAAACTTCAAAGCTTTCAGGAAATAATATAACACACCATCTTCAAGTCCTTGGGCTTCATAAAGAAAAATGTTAGGACAATTATCTACAATACTATAAAATTATCTACAATAATTGTAATATCTACAATATCTACAATAATAATTTATGAGAACTCCTACTCACAAAAAGGCAGTAAGAAAGAAAAAGCAAACTAGAGATAGAAAGAAGGTACTTGCAAAACATTACAAAAAGGGCTTCTATCCAGAAAACTATAAAGAATTCCTACAAAGCAGCAGCAGCTAGACAATCCAACAGAGAAACAGGTAAGGGAACTTGTATAAACACAGCCAATAACCAAATGAAACAATCTTCAACTTCATTGGTAATGAGGGAAAAGCAAATTAAAACCATTTTAAAAACTGACTGACAATACCATACCTTGGTGGGACTATACAGCTACTGCAACAGCAGTTGAGGTATAAATGGGTACAACTGCTTTGAAAATCAGTGCAGCATTCTACTAGAATTTCACATACATATACCCCATCATCCAGCAATTGTCTTGTATATATATATACACAACAGAGATACATGCAAATGTGCACCAAAATAAATGTATAAAAATGTTTATAAGAAAATTTACTCATAACAGCCAAAACCAGAAAACAATCCAAATATCTTCAACATTAAAATGAATTAGCAGTGGTTTATTCATACACTTAAATATTCTGCAATGAAAGTGGACTAACTCCAGATACATGCATGGAAACATGGATGGATGATTCTCACAAATATAAAATAGTGAATGAAAAGAAGTCAGGTACAATCAAATGTATTCATATATTTCAATTTACATAAAACCCAAAAACAGACAAAACTGAAGTGTAACACTGAAGGACAGATTAGTTATTACCACTGGAAAAGAGGCAGAAGAAGGAGCTTCTGGGGTGCAGCAGTGTTCTACTTCTTGAAATAGGTATTAGTTAAGCGGGTACTGGCTTTACAATAACTCACTGACCTATGTTCTATTTGCTTTCCATGTTACTTTTACATCAAAAATTAACATTACATCAAAAACGTGTTTTCTAAATATGGCAGACACATACACAACCTAAGTATGATTATAAAGAAACATATGAGAGAAAAGAGTAAACTAGCTTTCCCTAGGATTAAAAATTCAAAGTGGGATTACTTGCTGGCATTGCTACCAGAGAAACCACTGGTTTGGAACTGGAGCAACTATGACAGCCTTCTGTTTTGATTTCACTTATATTGCCTCTTACTACTGGGTCAGGAAAGTTCGGTGATAGGTATACAGGAATTCTATGTGCTAGTTCTGTAACTTTTCTGTAAAGAAAGTGATTTCAAAATAAAAAAGTAAACTTTTTTATGGGAGCAAATTTATGAGGACAGAGCATTCAATGGTAGACTCTCTAGCTTCAGAAAGGACACACACTTCAACCAAGGGCTTGATTTCTGGTGTACAATACATGTATGGTCTGGAGTTTAGCAAGTGTGCTGGGAAGTTTAGCTCACAACAATCTCATTTTAATAAAAACTGGCCAACTCTGTTCAATATCCAATGTTAAAAGCAGTGTTAAAGCTAGGGAGGAAAAAAAGTGGAAAAACCGTCCTTACCTTATTGAAAACTAACATTCTATGCCAGGTACAATGCATAGTCGCTCACACCCATAATCCCAATACTTTGGGAAGGTGAGGCAGGAGGACTGCTTGAGACCAGGAGTTTGAGACCAGCCTGGGCAACACAGCAAGTCTCTGTCCCTACAAAAAATAAAAAATGTACCTAGGTGTGGTGGCATGTGCCTGTAGTCCCAGTTACTAGTCCCAGTTACTTGGGAGGCTGAGGCAGAAAGATTGCTTTTGCCCTGAAGTTTGAGGCAGCAATGAGCCATGACTGCACCACTGCATTCCAGCCTGGGTGACGAGCAAGACCTTGTCTCTTTAAAAGAGGAAAGAAAAGGGAAAGGGAAATGGGAAAGGGAAAGGGAAAGGGATGGGGATGGGGAAGGGAAAGAAGAAAGGAAGGGAAGGGAGAAGGAAAGGGAGAGGAAAAGGGAGAAGGAAAAGGAGAAGGAAAGGATGAAGGAAAGGAAGGAGGAAAGGAAAAACGAAAGGGGAGGGAGGGGAGAGGAGGGAAGGGAAGGAGGAAGGGAG